TAAGAGAGTCTTCGAAACCCAACTTTTCTTCGCATATATCTGGTACAACAGACCTACCGTCAGCCAACTAGTTCAGGTCCCCGCCGTCTCGATCCTGTTTATATCCCTAATACCAAGTCTATGATTTGCCATGTCCTAGTCTTTTGTGCGCCAACACACAAATGTAGTGGTACAGCTTGTTTTGATTTGGTTCAATATTGAACCACAACATTTGTGGGTTGGAACACAAGAGACTAAAGATCGGAATACTAAGGAATTTTATCATCAGAATCTTACTACTAACGGACAAAGAGTTCTTGGAGGAAGAGTTGGACAAACTGACACGGATTTGCCTTAGTAACAAATATCCCAGAGCATTTATAGAAAAAAATGTAGAGGTTATAAAGGGCCGATTTCAGCTTGGATTTAATGAAAATCAGATCAGGAATGAGGATAACAACCAAAAGTGGATTTCCCTGCCCCCATTACAACTGAGCCATGTATTGCGACCATTATTAAGAAAATGGAATATCAAGGTGATAACAAAGGAAAATAAAACATTTTTCACCTGTCTTCCAACGCAACACGAGAAGACGGATAAACGCGAGTGTTCGGAAGTTTATCGCATTAAATGCGGCAACTGTGAGCAAAAGTATATCGGTGAAACATGAAGAGAAATCGGCCTACGAATCAAGGAACATCAAAGATCCTGCAGCAAAATGGATACACAAAGATCAGAAATAGCGGAACACATTGCACGGACGGGATATGAAATAGACTAGAAGTCGACCGATGGGTTGGCTGGATATGGTAAAAACACGAGAAAACGCAAGATCAGAAAGGCCATCGATATACTGACCGAGAGGGATCTAATGAACAGGAGACTTGAAGAAGGCAGCATCAGCGAAAACTTTGCATATTGCCTAAACACACTAGGAGAAGACCAGGCAACGACGATCAAGGTAATATCCTTAATTTTTGGAAAAGATATCTCAAGAGGATGAAAAAGGAACAATCAGAATCCTAGAGGAGACGTCTTCAGTGAGCCTTATCAAAGCAAGTAGAATCACGACATTTGTGGGTTAACATATAAGAGACTATGACATAGGATGTGATAGTCATGGTATCACAGATAGAAACAGGACTCCGAACTAGGTGCGTTGCTCTAAGCCTTCCTACCAATATTACCATGTTGAGAAAACAAGGTCCAGCAACCTCTAATATTTAATAATAGGATTACAGCAAACTTGTTATCTATGGCGAGTAATTAATAAAATATTTTGTATGCTTAAGCTCGTAGATAACTGCGAAGTATGACAACTATGCTTAGTACAAATAATTATCTGAGTGTGATAAACAATTTTTTATAGCTTATCCAGAAATTTTAAATTTTATAACTAAGCTAGTAGTAGCAAAAAAGAAATGGCGAACTTAACGTATTTTCGCTTGCTTAATCTAAAATACCCTCTCAATTAGCCTCGACGTTCAGGTTCTCTCATGACCATTGTAAGCATAAAGAAAAATGTCTTGGAAAGAATTTCACGGATAAGCTCTTCAAAATACTGTGAAGCTCTATCAAGAAAGTGTGAGTAGAGAAAAATAATTTAAAAAAATCGGAAATTCATTTCTGGTAGAAGGGGAATCATGGGGTCGATAATATCCCTGAAGTTATTTAGTCTCTCGAGAGGATCTTTAACCATATGGAACAAGCAATACATCTTTAGTGATGAGGATTTAATCTTGAAAATATGCCAAATAAACGAAAGTTCAAAAATTAACAATGTTCAAGGATTTTAAAAGATAAGCTAAAATAGTACCATGTTATTGCAGTGATTTACCTGGTAGTAGACTATTCAACTCAAGTAGGTCATTGATCACTACATTATCACCTGGCCTACAGCCAGTGAGAGTCTCACAAAGTTTAGTTAAACTAAAGTTTTCATCGTTCTCTCCTGCCTAAATACGAAAAAATTAAAAGCAAAATAAAAAGTAACAAGTATATATATGGCAGAGCATATAAAACGCATCAGAATAGCTTGCACAACAGACACATTAAAATAAACGAACGTATTAAAATAAGCAGCTCAACAGAAAACGCCTACAGGTAATAAAATGAATATATGTCTGCAAATAGCATCAATAAATCTATTTGTTTTATGAGCTTAGCGAATCCCATACATATTATACTCATGAATAAAGGATGGGATAGGAATATAGAAAAATTTGGTCCAGAATTTTAATCTCAATATTACCTTATGATAATTATATCAGATGTTAGAGAATAAAGTAATTTAAACATAGCTATAAATATGCAAATTTTTTCATCTAAAGCTATGAATTATAGGCTTTAAGTTTAGTTTAAGATATGTCCAGCTCTATGACATTTAAACTCCCTGAAATTTTTAAAATTAAAATTAATTGTTCAAATCTATGAATACAAAAATAATCGATTAAAAATCATTCCACATACAATAAAGAAATAAATATAAAAGTAACAAAATGCTAAATCCTATTGTACACGTAAGAACATTTATCATGCAAAATACAAAGTTAAAATTTATTTTGACGCAAAGTTAGCATAGTATAAAATAAAATAAAGTTAATTTTAAAAATTAAAGAACGGAACAGTGAAGGCCTTGCGATCTTCAAAAAATACACAGGCTAGAAATAAGAATTTTTATTGGTAACTTGGTCACAATTTTTTAAAGAAGAGAATTCTTATCCGTATACAAATATTTAAAACAAAAAATTATCCTAAGGTTAAATATAATTTGTCTAAGGTTTTGAAAGCCTGATAAAATAAAACATTTTAACTAAATAATTTGCATAAATCACCTGCAAAAATACTCCTAAGACAGAAATCCCATCTTTGTTTTCAATTGCAGCTTGAAAACTAGAATACTTTTCATTGAAAAATACTAGATGGAGCTCTGCGGAAAAACTGCGTCCATCAACTAAATGTTCCGAGCCCCAATGGTCATCGGAGCCCCAGTGGAAGTGAAATTGAGCTAGACGGTAACTGGAGGACAAGGGCCCACCAGTCATGGCTAAATGAATAAGTATTCGAAATAATTAAGGTCTTAATTCACGAACTAATATACTAAGTTAATTTAAAGCAGAAAGAGTAAATTGGAATATATGAATATACAAAGATTAGGAAATCAATTTTTTAACACTGTTAAAAGGACAAAATGTATTATTAGTCAAAGATACTTATTTGTCGCAATAAAAGGATTAGGTATAAGATCAAATTTTATGCTTACAGGCAATGCCGTGAATAGAAATTTGGAAGTTGTGTTCCTTAACAATCAGAAGGTTTTCAGTTATACCCTTGAAATCACATTTTAAGGCCTTAAGAGTGGGATCTCTTTGAACATCGGATGTTGCAATATTAATTGGGGATTGATGAGATCCTCCAGCATGTTCAAATTTCTTTGACCAAGTATGTGGCCCTAAATTATAAAAAAGATATATGAAAATATACAAAGAAACAAAGTAAGTTCATTAGTTAAGTTTAAGTAATGTACCGTCAACTGGGCCGTATCCGTAAGACATAGCCAGAGAACTAAATATACAAGGAAAGTAAATTTCAGTGAATACAATAGATTATAGCAAATGTGCATATCACAAAAGGAGAATTGACAAG